GGGCACCGACGAGCTGCGCCCTTCCCCAGCAGAGCCCGCTCCGGGCTAGGGGCGGCCCGTTCTCCAGGGCCTCTCCCGGGGGGTGTCTGGGCTTTAGGGGCTTTCTCTCGGTGTCACCGGGGGGTGCGGGGCTGAGTCCTCCCCACAGATGCTGCTGGGTCCTTGGCGGGATCGGGGAGCCGGTCCCTGGGAGTGGCTGTAGGGGAGCAGTGGTTTATTTCGGCTGGCAGGATTTGGCTGGTGGTGAGCCTCCTCCCTCCCCCCCCCTCCCCCCGGTCTCTGGGTAGAAGATGAGAGGGGTTAAGCCAGCCGCAGCACCGATGCTCCTCGCCAGGACGTGTTCATTTACTTCCCCCCGGTCTTGTGGTATCATTTCCTCCTGGCTGTTTAATCTCTGTGGGGGAGCAGTTTATTATCAGGGAATTTCTCACGGGGATGGCGTGGAAGCTGGTTTTTCAAGGAAAGCTGTCAGGTTAGAAATATTAATTAAAAAAAACAGTTTTATTTGTTAGCAAAGGTCTTTTGAAGACCTGTTAGTCACCCTCTCCTTGGTTATCTGCATTCATCAGGTAAGACCCTGCAGACCCATATCCAAGGAAGTAAGGGTTTTCAGGATTGGGTCCTGCTTTTGGTGCTTAGACACACAAATGTCTATGTAAGCTATCTAGAAATGCTACAAAGAAAAATCTGATTACAAACAAAAGCTGTTCTCACTGAATGTGTTTTAAAACATCCCAGATACATTTCTTTTCAGTTTTGTAAATGTTTTCCTTTTAATTTAAGGGTATTACAAGTGTCTCTATTTGTGAGGGAGGACAACAATACTGTATACAAATATATTTGTTGTTACAATATAATTTTTGTATTTTTTTCATGCAGCCTATAAGTAGTAAGGCACACCATTCTCAAAGACTTCTGACTGCCAGACACAGTACAATTATAGCAATTCAAATACCTCACTTAGCCAGCTTCATGCAAGTTCCTCTGTGTGGGTGAACCCCCATTGACTTACACTGGGGCTTCCTGGGGGCACAAAGGTCT